AAGTTCCGAGGTTGGGCAGTATTAAGTCTTAAGCTGTTAAGAAGTTGGGATCTCTCTTCCCGTCAGGAGAGAGAAGTGGCTGGAAGGGGAACCACATCAAGTGTGAAGTGTTCTGATAATGTGATTTTGTGAATTTGAGCTTCATTACGGAGTGTATTTAATTTGGTAGAAGAATACATAGAGTTAGTACACTTTTTTTGTCTGTATGTAATATATCAATAAAAAACAGTATCATTGAAAAAATCAAGAGTTTCTTCTTGAATGAAAAATAATGTGTTACTATATGTTTATTAGTTGGAGATGAAGGGCCAAGAGCCAGGAAGAACAGACGGGGAGGCGGTGGCAGTACGGGGGTTACCAGGTCGGGAGGGGCGGGCAGTTAGGAGCGACCAGGCAGGCAGGCAGGTGAGTGGTTAGGAGGCAGCGGTCCAGGATTGTGAGAGGATGTCCGACTGCTGGTTTAAAGAAATGAACATGACTCAGAGCAGACTTCAATTTAATTCACTTAAACAGGCAGTTGGACATCCCTTGAGTGGTCCCGGATTGGAGAGAGTGCAGGCTGGGCTGAGGGGACACCCCTCCCCTGGTGCAAGAATTATCATGCACCGGGCCTCTAGTAATTAATAAGAGCACCAGGGAAGTCAGGGTCACAGAGGTTAGTCATGGAGGGGACATTTAACACTGGGAGTCATCAATAGTATCAAATGCAATCGAGAAGTCACAATGGATGTAGCTGACTTGTTTTTTTAAAAAACACATGTGTGAACCTCAAAAGAGAAGTTTCTCTACAATGAGGGATGGAGGGCAGAGAGCAGGAAACAGGGAGCTGAAGTAAGAGTAGGTGGTGAAATAAGAGAAGGCAAAGGAAGTAACCCACATTTACTAGTATTGGGCATGAAGAACAGCAGCTTGAGAGGAAAGAGAAGGTTGTGTTAAGATAATCAATGGCAACCTCTTGTTTCAAAGCTATGTTCCAAATAGAGTCTCCAGGAAGGAAATCCAGGTCGAAGGGCAGATAACTGATAGATAGAAAACAACAGTGTCTTGTCTGGCTTAACTTGGAAAGAAAGTCAGGCACACCTTTACACTTCACCACAGAGTAAAAGGAAACTGATAAAAACATGGAGAATGTGGGTGAAAAATGAGGAATGTGAGGAACTTCATATCAGTTCATTGGTCCTGATATACTCAGGGAGTTGGACTAGAAGCACAGTCATGAGTTGAGAGTGAGGGATGGAATTTAAAAGCAAGAGCAACATGCACTTAGCTGGGAAAGAACCACTGGTCCCCTCTGCGTGGTATAAAACTGTATGTGCTTCTGATAGCTGATATTGTGAGGAAAAACATGCATGGTAGGTGTTACTAATCTTCAAAATGGAAAGGCAAAGACTTCTAAAAGCAACTCTTTTTCAACAGCCTACAATAGCAATTTTCAACCAGTGTGCTGCAAGAATTTTTAAAACATACAATACCCGACTATTTAGTCAGGGGCACTGACCTCTTTTCCCTTAGGTTGTCAAATGAAAAAAATGACAACAGCCAACACAATAGCCATCCAGTGTGAATGAATCACAATGATACCTTTTATTCTTGTCAGATCAGCAAAAAGCACATTGTTTGGTGCCACAGAACTTTAGTAATTAGTTTATGTGTGCTGTAAGATGAAAACTACGAAATTGGTTTATGTCAATTTTCGGTACATGCAGAAAATGTACAAGTCTTCAAATACCAACTTATGCTACATGAGAATTAAGGCACCCTAAGAAAATAGGCCAAATATTCCTAAGAGTACCAATAAGTTCTACTCTTTCATCTGGGAATCCAAACACCCTCAAGTAGCCTAGTTGTAAGTAAAATTAATGATTGGAGATCAGTACCGAAGAATTATTCTGTTATTTATTCCCTGAAGGACATATTTATTCGGCAGGAAAAAAAATCACTAGGCAATCCACAGATGTCTAGCCACTGCCAGTGTGCTGTCCATGGGTGGGACAGTTCATCTCCCCTGTGCACTGACTTTTGAAAATCTCCAGATCGATTACTCTCTTTCTCCAGATAAAAATCACCTAACTGATAGGGAACTAGGAGGATGCATGTCCAAAACCCGGGGAGGCCTGTTATACTACAGAAATTAAAATGTGCCTCTCAACCCAAATATCCTTGAGAAGAACTGAAGGAAGAATTGAAGTGAATTAAATTGAAGTCTGCTCTGAGTCATGTTCATTTCTTTAAAATATGTGATTAGAAATGTTGCCAAAACACGTGTGTGTTCACAAAGATATGACAATGGTGGCTAGACTATCAGAGCTATGTACTTTCCTTATTAATATTTTCGGATTATTTCTACAAATGACCCAATTAACTGTAGAATTTAAAAATTAATAAATTAATGCTCCTTAAAGGGAAATAAGAATCCCCCTCTGAGTGCTTCCTTTTCTTTTGAACACTAATTAAGATGGATAAAGTAGATGCACTTGTCCTGCTGATACAATATAATTAAGCATTTCAAACTTCCCAACACTCATTAATTTGTATGTTTAAATATTCAAATGCAAACCCAGTATACATCATCTCCAAAAAGGAGTAAAAACCACTTTTTAAAAAATAATAAATCTACATAAAATTTTTAGTTCCTTTATTAAAATAAGTTTATTTTATTATTTTTAATATGTCTTTATTGTTGAAAGTATTACAGGTGTCCCTCTTTTTCTATACTAATAAAAGGGTAATATGCTAATTAGACCAGGTCCACCGGCCATCTTCCAGATGTCCAACTTCCTTCCGGACAAAGCCATGGTGGTGGGGGTCGAGGCAGAGGCAATTAGGGGTGATCAGGCAGGGAGGGGAGGGCAGTTGGGGGCAAGATCAGGCTGGCAGAGGAGAGCAGTTGGGGGCGAGATCAGGTCGGCAGGGGAGGGCAGTTAGGGGCGATCAGGTAGGCAGAGAGGTTAGGGGCGATCAGGCAGGCAGGCAGAGGGGTTAGGGGCAATCAGGCAGGCAGGCAGAGGTAGTCAGGGGTGATCAGGCAGGCAGGCAGGTGAGCGGTTAGGAGCCAGCGGCCCCAGATTGCGAGAGGGATGTCCACAGGGATCGGGCCTAAAAAGGCAGTCGGACATCCCCCAAGGGGTCCCCGATTGGAGAGGGTGCAGGCTGGGCTGAGGGACCCCCCCCCCCCATGCATGAATTCCGTGCACTGGGCCACTAGTATGCATATAAGTTCTTTGGCTAATCTCTTCATGGCCCCATCCCCTCCCTCTGAGAATAAATAACTATTAAAAGAGGTTTTCAAGCATTATTTTTGTAGCTGAATTCTTCAATATGACATTGTTCTGTTTAAAATAGAATGACTTCATATAAATGCTACATCAATAATAAGCCTTGCGCTGGGGTGAAGAATAGGTGTGTACATGTGTAAGGAGGGAGGCTGTGTTAAGCAGGGTCAGGGAACAGCCGACCTGCGAGCCATACAAGGCCCACAAAATCATTTGGTCTGGCCCTGGAAGGCATAAAGGGTGAGTTCATTAAATGTCTGACCAAATACAGCAGGCGAACTTTTAAGCTGACAATTTTGTATGGCCCTTGAATGATGTTTTAAATATACAAATGGCCCTTGGAAGAAAAAAAGGTTCCCCACCCCCGTAAAGTAACAAGAAATGAGCTGCTGCTTCTCGTTAATAATTCCACCTGAATTAGAGTAAATTTTTCTTTAAATCAAAAAAAAATAGGAAACCCCTTTAATTTGATTTGTATAGGAAATCTTTGTCCTACAATAGCTTATAGTCCGCAGTATGGCTGAAATGAGACTTTATCCAACAGAGTCAGTGCACTGTAGGAGCATAACTGATGTTAGGTGTTTAACTAAATATAGTAACTAGGCCTCCGCTTTCATGCAAAACACTTGAGACAGGGTGACAACTCGATCAGCACAGTTAGCATTCGCTTTTACTAAAAACCCCAATGCCCAGGACTCCTTATTTTAGCAATTTGTCTTTTATCAAACCTAAATGTCTATACTCTCACCAGAAAAGACAAACTAGATGACATAAGCAAGCAATTCCTTAAAATGCATGTGTTCAATCAAAACATTCACTAATATCAGAATGACCACACCTACAAACCGTGTTAGAACTAAAATAGCCAAAGTGAACTAATCAAATGGTTTAACTACCTCTCCATCCTCCTGCCACAATCTGATTCCAAAGGGACCAGAGTCCTCCACTTTAGGACAGGGGCCCCCTGGGTTCAGAGTAATCTCATTCAAGTAAATATTTTCAGATAAGCAGACAACCTTCAGCAGACTTGGCAAAATAAATAAACTGGTTAAATCACTTGCATGTAAAAATTCTGGGGCATAAGTTTATTCTAAGTCATCTCAATCGTTGAAAGTAACAAAATCAATTAAAGCTAGTCTGGTTCCCAAAGTAACACATAAGATTACAAACTGCATGTGTTGTTGTTTATTAATGAGGTAATGCTCTACTACATTCATATGACAATATACTTTTGTAACCTGAGACAATTCTTGCTTAAAAGATTTTAGTCACTTTCAGGGTCAAGTGATCTAAATGGGTAATTGGCAGTCATCCTCCAATGAGAAAATTTTATCAGAGAAGGTTCACAGACAGGTGTGGTTGTGAGTTAAAACCAGAGGAGAGATAAAGTTAATCTAGAATAAGAGCTGGAGATTTTCCTTTACCCTTCAATCCCCTACTCATAGTCCTCTAGGAATCTGGAAATGTAAATTCTCAATAAAATATATGATTTAAGAATCCTGAATTAGTGTTCCTGTAATATAACACGTACATTATGTTATAATTTTTCCCCACAAACCTTGTTTCATCTCTAGACCTTAGAAACAATTCATAAACATTCTTTAGAGTTTACAATTTGCTGTAAACGCAAGTATGACTCTTATTTTCCTGCAAGAAGTGCAGCCATTCCCTTCATGGTATTTACCTCTCGCTCCTCTACCTCAATGTCGAGGAGACAGCAAGAGGGGGAAGATTTAGCCGTAACTGCAAAATAGTTACAGATGGAGGCTCCGGGACCAGACAGCATGGTTGGCATCAGACCTCTAATGAATCCACTGCTCTGCTCCCCAGCTTCCCTCATCCAGAAACAAAAATAATATGAAGGTGTACTTCAGAGAGTCGTCGAGGTCATAAAATGAGTAAATTCATGACGATATAAGGAATCAAACACTGGCGATTATTATTCTGAAGTGTACATAACATAAAAGTTCTGTCAAAGTCTAATTTTGTGTCCCCAAATCAACAAGTAAGATTTGCTTACTGTAAGTCAAATTTTAAAATAAAAATAACCTGATTCCTACTTTTTCAAGAGTTTAATATCAAATTGTCACTTCTAGATGACTAACAGATTAGGATCTATTAAGTACCTGAAATTTCCAAATAAAATGATTCAAATTCATAACTTGATTTCAGATTCTTAATGCCAATTTAAGTCAGTGGTCCTGATTTAAAACATCAGTGTGCATGAGTATCACACGGGAAGCTCATTAAATGCAGGTGAGGGGAGCACCCAGAGTTCCTGACTCACTGGGGCTCGGTTTGGTGCCAAGGATCCTGCATTTCTCATGACTTCCCAGGGGAAGCCTGCACTTTGAGAACCTTTGTTGAAGGTTAACAAATACAGAGACAAACCCACGCAAAACTCAGAAGAAAGAAATAACCAAAACATATCTTCATAGCAAAGGCATCTACCCAAATGGTCCTCTGGTAACAGAGGAGATTACAGTTAGAAATATTTGTGTGTGTGTTTGTGTGCATGCATGTCCACAGCAGTATTTATACCAAAGTAATAGCAATACAAGGATCCATGAATTTAATGATATATTCCCCAACACCAAAAACTTGGTTAACAGAAAAAAAAATTGTTTCTATGTAAATTCTGTTCAAGAAAATCATAAAAGACACTTTATATAATAAGCCTGGCAATTGGATACAACTGTTTTTCTTTCTAATGTAATTTTGGAACTTTATAATTTATAATGGGAGGAAACTGTTTCATCTACAAAAAGTTGATCAAACACAGATTTAAAATAATGACATTATTAACCAGGAAAAGAAAGGCAAAGAGCAAGAGATTTAACATCCCTAACAAGCACAGATTCTGAGTTAATGTAATTACTCTTACAGCATAATACATCATCTGATGTTGAGCACAGTATGTTTTCAGGTAAACAGCCATCTAAGAAAGCAAGCTTGCAACCTTCTCCAGGAAGCAGACTTCAAAAAGCTTGGATTTATCCTCGCAGGGAAAAATACCCAAAAGAACTCATACAGCATGAACTCTATGGCAGGTCTCAGTAAAAAGCCACAAGATTTAAAATTGCCTTTTAAAAGATGACTTTTCACCCACCCTGCCCCACATTTCCCAAGGAAATAAAAGCAGAAGTCATAAAAGTGGACAAACGGAAATCCAGTGTCTGCATAGCTTTGAGTCCACAGCACTTGAAGGTAATTTCTGATTGTGGAGTCCTCTCTTCCGCTCATGCTCTATTTCTCTCTAGAAACCTCAAGACTTTACTGATGAGAACTCTGCAAATTCTCTACCGTAAAGAGTTTTAACAACTAAGCTAAGACATTAAAAAGGAAAATACCAGATGCCACCCTGCAGTTGAACTGACTACCACTTACTGGATACATTTAAATCCTCCAATCAACAGAGTAACCAGGTAACTTTATATCTAGAAGTATTTGACACTTTGTATTTACACTATGTATTTACACTTTGACATATGTGAACATTTTTTCAGGTTTTCTTAAAATTGGAAACCTTTAGTAACAATATCAATGCAGGCACTTATTTGGGATAAAAATTAAAATATAATCCACAATAATGGTGTTAGAGATAACAATTTCATTTAAAAACTTATAGAGGACTGAAATAAAATACAAATGGTCTTACTAATTTTACATCAAGTGTGGAATTAGACTTAGATATAGAGAGAGCTGAAATTCTCCAGATCAAGAATATGTGTTAAATAAGTTGTAGTCTATGCAAAATGAGTAATCCCAAAGTAGAATTTCCAAAACTATCAAAGAATATACAACTTAAAGCAAATAGCGGTAGCAAGGAAGGTTAAAATCAGTGATCTTATATCAATTACATATTGTTTTTGGTTTGTTTTAGGTTAAACAGGTGAGAGGTGAGGAGGTGTTGAAAACTGAAGCCATAATTGTGACAACGTGAATGAATCTTGTTTTACTTTCAATAATTAAAGGATGTAAAAAATTAATTCCACTGACATTTGGGGTATTTAGTTCTACCTTTATTTGTCATATTTAAATATTTTATATGGAATTTTTTTAAATTTAGATATCTGTACTTTAACATTACCATATCTTATATTTAGGAATAATATTCTATAAACAATCAATTCCATTGTCTTTGATGAAATAAAAATGTTACAAATCTCACTTTAAATTTCAAAATTTAGATGTCAGATAACATATTCAAGTGAAGTGTTAGTTTATTTACAGCTGCTTGTTGGGGTATAATAACCTATGGAACCAGACATGAGCATGGTTTTGCTTTGTTATAGTATCTACCATTATATTTGAAGCTAAAGAATGAGTCCTTATGGGCCTGACTTTTGAATGGATGCCAGCAATATAGAGGCAGAAATATCCTTCAATTATAAAGGAAATTTTTCTTTCTGACTCAGTGTCTTACTTAATCCTAATAGGCAATTATCAGTTATTTCTTCTTAGAATGCTTTGATGGTGCAACTAGAGTAAGTGAAGTCCAGGAATAAGGTTGGTGCAGAAAGGGTGACTGAATAGAAACAAAAGAACTTTTTAAAGGCATGGAAATGAAACCGGAGAACAAAGCAGAGCCCTAATATTGCTCTTCTAGACTTCATATATAAATATACAGATGTTTTTGCCTAAGATCAAAAATGTTCTAAGAGAGGCAAATATTCAACAAATAAAAAATACAAAGTATCCATACCTTCACATAATTCAGACCATTTTACTTTCCTAGAAGTAGAATATGATGAAATATCATGAGATTGTTTTCTTTGTTCTTACTACTTGCCACAAAAAAAAATTAGAAACCTGTTTTTAAAGAAGGCTGTCCAGAAAAGTTACACACAGAGACAAAAGCAAAATCAGCTACTGGCACTGAAAATAACCACCCCCCCTCCCCTCCAGGTATCAAAGAGGGAACGCGGCCATGGACAACTTTACCTCTCCCCCGGGGAACGGCAGCCTGTGCACCAGGGACTACCACATCACCCAGGTCCTCTTCCCGCTCCTCTACACTGTCCTGTTTTTCACTGGACTCATCACAAATAGCCTGGCAATGAGGATTTTCTTTCAAATCCGCAGTAAATCCAACTTTATTATTTTTCTTAAGAACACAGTCATTTCTGATCTTCTCATGATTCTGACTTTTCCATTCAAAATCCTCAGTGATGCCAAACTGGGAACAGGACCACTGAGAGTGTTCGTGTGCCAAGTGACCTCTGTCATATTCTACTTCACAATGTATATCAGTATTTCATTCCTAGGGCTGATAACTATCGATCGCTACCAGAAGACCACCAGGCCATTTAAAACATCCAGCCCCAACAATCTCCTGGGGGCCAAGATTCTCTCTGTTGTCATCTGGGCATTCATGTTCTTACTCTCTTTGCCTAACATGATCCTAACCAACAGGAGGCCGAGAGACAAGAATGTGAAGAAATGCTCTTTCCTCAAATCAGAATTTGGTTTGGTCTGGCATGAAATAGTCAATTATATCTGTCAAGTCATTTTCTGGATTAATTTTTTAATTGTCATTGTATGTTATACACTCATTACAAAAGAACTATACAGGTCATATGTAAGAACAAGGGGTACTGGCAAAGTTCACAAGAAAAAGGTGAACATCAAGGTTTTCATTATCATTGCTGTATTTTTTATTTGTTTTGTTCCCTTCCATTTTGCCCGGATTCCCTACACCCTGAGCCAGACCCGGGATGTCTTTAACTGCTCTGCGGAGAATACTCTGTTCTATGTGAAGGAGAGCACGCTCTGGTTAACTTCCTTAAATGCATGCCTGGATCCATTCATCTACTTTTTCCTTTGCAAGTCCTTCAAAAATTCCTTGATGAGTATGCTGAAGTGCACCAATTCTGCAACATCTCCCCACGAAAACAGGGGGAAAGGTCAGGATGGTAGGGACCCAAGCGAAGAGACTCCAATATAAACACATTGAGGTAAGATTTCAATCTGTTAACCAGATTGAAATATTAGTGTTTGGAACTCCTAAAAGAAAACACTATGTAAAAATATTAATACTAAGAAGCAGCTGAGTAACAATGACGCTTGAAACAATAGAAGACTACAAAAGTAATTTTCATTTACTTTTCCAGTATTAAAAGCTATCTTAAAATGTAGAAAACTAAATTAACATATAGCTGTGGAGCAAAACAAACTGTTATCCAATAACCATGTGACATGCAAAACCATACAGAATTCAAGAATTGAAGAGTTTTGGCAAAATAGGTAACAATATAATGATACTTACTGTAATTCTATAAATACATTATTGATCACAATATTAGTAAACTTACTATATAATCAACTGGAGAATGATAAATCTGATAAAATCTTCTGACCAAAAATTATACTTATCTATAATAATAAAAACGTAACATGCTAATTAGATCAGGCAGCCAAACGACCTTCTGGACATTCTTCCGGATGACCTTCTGGACAAGTGGGGCTGCAAGGGCCGAGGCAAGCCACCGCGGCTGCAAGGGCCGAGCCCCTTGCACAAATTTTGTGCATCATGCCTCTAGTTAGTTGTATATACAATTCTAGTCCCCTAACCAAATGCTGACCTATTGTGATAATCATTATAAAAATTTAAGTAAGTGGGGCACACAAAGAATAGTAACTACTAACTTATAATTATCAGCAAAGACCTAAGGGATTTATACTAATTGAAATGGTAATAGATTAGACTGAATTTTTTTAATGTTCATTAAGATAGAAGATTAAAAACTACTTTCCCAATAAAAAGTATAGAAATAGCAAATGAAGCCATTAAATAAGGAGGCTTTTTATAAGATATTCTAATACACACATACAAAAACAAACAAACATAATACTCCCTTAACACTAGAGAAATCGGTTTTACTAATGTTTTCACAACTTTAGTAAATACAATAGCATCATTAACTTATCTTTATTAACTAGCTACTAGAGACTGCACACAAGTTAATAAACATTTCCCATAGTGAGAAAAACAAATGTAATTAGGCATTTGTACAGCATAACTATCAACAGGAAAGTCATTAAAATGGTTGGATTTATGCCCTTGCTGGTTTGGTTCAGTGGTTGGGGTGTCGGCCCTCAGACTGAAGAGTCCTGGGTTTGATATTTCTCTCTCTGCCTCTCCCCCTCCTTCCCACTCTGTCTAAAAATCAATGGAAAAAATATCCTCGGGTGAGGATTAACAACAACAACAAAATGTTTGGATTACCTGTTTGTTATTTGTGTGTATAACAAAAAATTTACATTAAACTCTAAATCACACTTTGTTAGAAATTCTTTGTTCAAAGATATTAGATACCATGACTCACTTCCTATCTTCCCCCTACCTCAAATGTTAAACCCGTTTAAGAAAGATTAGCTGCCAACACTTTTAAGACAGAATATTGAGAAAATCTTCTGAAGGTGACATCTCACATCAATTAGTTCATATGTAAATGGGAAACCAGGTCAGACTTCAAATGTAGACTGATTCCACAGAAGCCATGTTCATTTTTCTTAATATAAATAAAATATACAACACACTGGGAATTATGACATCATTTATCTTAATTATATATGATCCTCAGAGGTGATTCTCAAGCAGAAGGCATAGATTCCAATATCTAAATATCATATGAGAAGAAATGAAAAGGCTGAATCCTATATAATAAAAGCCTAATATGCTAAGTATCTGGTCGTCTGGTTGTCTGTTCAACCAATCAAAGTGTAATATGCTAAGAATGGATTTTACATTTCAAATGTTTGTGGGGATAAAAGTTAGAAGAAGGGTAAAAGCTCATGCTGCATTAAAGTTACATGAATTCAAGTTTCAGTGTCCATAAGGTTTTATTAGAACACAGCCACACCCACTGGGGTTTTACCTGCCGTAACAACAGGGATAAGTAGTTGTGTTGGAGACTACAAAGCCACAAAAGTATTTACTAGCTAGTTCTTTAAAAGACTGACAACCCCTGGACTAGAACTTTAAAAGCAGAAGAAAACCCCTACACGGGAAAAAAACAAAACAAAAACAACCCTGTCTTCAAGCACCAGGGTACTTCAGTGGCTTTGCACTGTAAACAACTGCAGTCCAGTCGCTGATCTAGGTGACCTGCTAGCTGGGAATGCCCAAAGCGGGACTACAATGATGCCAGTGGGAGCTAAGCATGTGGAAACATGCTTACAAGTCTCTAAGTAAAAAGAGACAGCCTGACTTTTTAAAAATATGGGGAAAGGGCTTGAAAAATCAATTTCCAGGAGAAATACAAATGGGCAGTATAATATAAATACATATATATCACTAATAATCAAATAAGTATACTAAAATGACATGGCTTTTTTGCACCATGAGTTTAGAATTGATTTATAAGTTTTTAAGCAAGGTGTTGTAGAATCCCACTCAGTGAGACTACAAATCAGTACAATCTTTCTGGAAAGCTACTGGAAAATAACGTTCTACATATTGATGCACAGTGTTTGATCCAGCATTCCACTTTTAGGGAACTTCCTATAAATATGTTGCAACAAATGCACAAAAATATATGGACATGTATATGCTCTACAGTACTGTTTTTTAATATGAGAAAAAAATGGGAAAAATAAATGCCCAACAACTTAACTAAACTATGATAACTTTATATTGTATAACATTTTTTTTAAATTAGGGAAGTTATCATGTACTGACATAAAATAAAATAAAGATACAATATATCAATAAATGTAAATATATATGTACATGTACATATTTCCAAACCATTGGTATTATATGTAAAAGGGATTAACTTGCAATTACTACTATATACATGTCTATATTTGAACTCTTTAAACTTTATAATAAAATTATGAAGCTGAATATTCATATAATTGTTTCAGATATTGTGAATCAATTGCCTGTTTCCAGTCATGGGTACAGACTTTCTAATGTTGAATTTAATAATAGACAAAGATTACTACATTTAACTTGAAATTGCATAATTTATTTTAGCTTATTATTACCACTTTCGGTTAATCCAGTGTGGAATTTTTTAAACATTTTCATATAATCTGCGAAAGTACCATGGTATACCTTGATGGGAAGTAAAAGGTTCTTCTATGAGTACAGGAGTTCCCATTTTGACTTTCAATCCAAATAAAAGTAAATACTTCATCTTTCACATATTATTTACATGGCACTGGTTACCACATCAACAGGAACCTTTAAACTGTTAACTCTGATCCAAAGGAAAATCCCAAAGGAGACTACAAATGTAGTTATTCCCATTCTGCAGGCTTCTAATTTTTATTTTATCTTATTTCTCTTCTGATTATACTGCTTTGAACCAATTTATGTTTTCAACCTCACACCTCACTTTAAGACAAGAAGTTTCACAAGTCCATTAACTTTATAGTTTACTGTTTCGTCTCATTCATCATTCAGTTATGCCCACCTCAAAAACTCCAGAATTTGGTAAACAATTCCATGGTCACCTTATCTGTGGCTTCTAACAGCCAGGAGAGAGTAAGGCCGGCTCTGAGTGTGGGGCCTAGAGCTAGACTGTGGGTTTGCAGTGGGCCTGGGCTGCATGATCTGAGGCGAAGTGCTTCACTTCTGCACTTCTGTTTTCTCACCTGTAAAATGGGACCGATCACTGCTGTAAGAACTGAATAAGATCATATTATCAACAGACCAGCACAGCCAGTGTGATTTTATTAGTTTTGACTATATTTCCTTTTGAGTCCGATAGGATTTTATTTTTTAAAATATATTTTTATTGATTTCAAAGAGGAAGGGAGAGGGAGAGAGATAGAAACATCAAAGATGAGAGAGAATCATTGATCAGCTGCCTCCTGCACGCCCTTACTAGGGAACAAGTCTGCAACCTGGGCATGTGCCCTGACTGAGCCACACCAGCTGGGTGGATTTTAAATGTTTAGTTTATTCCCATTTGACAGGCACCTAATTTCTGGAACCTTTACTTATATCTTACTAGAGGCCCGGTGCATGGGTAGGGTCCCTAGGCCTGGCCAGAGATCAGGGCTGATTGGGGTCTTCCTTCCCCTGGCTGCTGGCTGCCGGCCAGGGCCTTCCTTCATTCCGTGCCACCCACTGGTGGTCAAACACCCGGTTGGTAGAACTCCTGAGGGGACAATTTGCATATTAGCCTTTTATTATATAGGATTTGATTTTTTCCTCCTGTCTTTCATGAGCTATCCCACAGTTCTACATTATATTCCACTTTTCTTTTAATTTCATTTAATAGAAAACATGCCAATACCTACCATGTCACAGGATTCATTCTCCACAGTGGGTGAATTTTCACCCATTGTATCCCTTTAACAACACAGAAAAGCAGACACCATTACTTATTTTCATATAAAGTGGAGACAATGGTTTCATAGAGAGCATAACTAACTTGCCCAGGGTCGTAAGAAAAGTACGAGTTAGAATAAGGAATTGAACCCAGGCACTCTGGCTCCTGAGGCCATGCTCATATCTGCTCTGCTGGGCAGCCTCTCAGAGACAGTATCAAGGGCAAAATACCTCCCCCATGGGTCACGGCAACTCATGAGAACAAAGAAAGACGGCCAATGCACACTAAGCACATGGACGCAGAGGAATGAGTGACCTATGGAATATTTACTATGATGAAAAATTTTGAAACCTACCAACCCATTTAAAAGAATACCCTTCCGTAACTTTAGAAATCGATACCACTTGAGTTCCCCTTTTGAAAGTTTCCCACACTCTGGCATTTTGAAATTTGACCAAAATGTGATTTCCAGTTTTCACATTATGAAATGAAATTTCCCTTGTTTAAATTGAAACTATTCCAAACCTTCAATGGATTTGCCTCTGTCAGGAAATGTACACTTAATTACGTAAGTCAAATCCCTCTACTTAAAAAATAAAACTAAAAAAGTTTTGTTTGTTTTTACTCTCTAATAAAGCAAACAAAAAGATATGTTTAAATTATGTTCCACTGCATTAATGAAATCCAGAATCTGTATTTCCAAGAATCAATTTGAATGAAACACATTTTTTTTTTCAAACTGTGTCACCATAGGTTAGTTCCAAGCAAAATTATCAGGCATCCCATTGCCTCAAAATGTCTGGTTGGTTATAGAGTTTTATTCTCAGAATCCCAAGCCAAGTCATCGAAAAATTCTCAATCAACCAACCCGACAGTCTACTCCAGCTCTGTGGTTAAACTTGTAGCACAAAATATGAAGTGAAACTCACCATGGAGAACTCCACATTCCCTCATAAGATCTCTAAATTTCCTCTTTCCCTTGACCTATCTGGCAAGACAACATTTATTATAGATTTTTGTCTATATAAAAGCAGCAATTAGCCTGGCCAGCATGGCTCAGTGGATAGAGCCTGGGAACTGAAGGGTCCCGGGTTCGATTCCTGATCAGGGCACATGCCCGGGTTATGGGCTCAATCCCCAGTGTGAGGTGTGCAGGAGGCAGCCAACCAATGATTCTCTCTCATCATTGATGTTTCTATCTCTCTCCCCTTCTCCTTTCCTCTCTAAAATAAATAAAAATATATTTTTAAAAAAACAGCAATTACTCTTTCAAACTTGAAGAGATCTTAAAGAAAAAAATTTGTAGACCTTGGCCCAAGATTGATTGATGGATAAAATTCCTGAAGTCTATAGCACTTCGCATATAACATGAAATACAGGGAAGATTTCCAAAAATGGTTTTCTAATAAATGAGAAAGTATGTCGCCATTTAAATCTATAATTCCCACACCAGAGCAGTGAGTGACTAAAACTTTTCAGCCAGCACTATTCCAGGCCCGCACTTCGTCCTCTCAGCAAGACTATAGGGTATACACCATTACTAAACCCACCACACAGAGGAGGACACTGCAGCACAGAGCCATCAAATCAGCTGTCTATGATCTAGTACACAGTAATTGGTGGGTGTGGGATTCTGACTCCAAAAATCTGGATCTATTAGCCCTTAACCCTTAGCAAATATGTCATTTTCTCTTTCAGAGATGGAAAGACAAAAAGACTAAGATAAATGTTTATAGAAACAAACAGGCCATCATACTGAACACAAATTTCTGGGGAAAACAGTCTAGAAGGATGCAGATAATGATTCTATCTGATTTTAGAGTCAACTATTACACTTTGTTGTAATTTGGGCTATTTTCTTTATCTTTCTGCCTCCCATTACTATATACAAGAGGCACTCAAAAATTTCATTAAACAAGTAGGTAAACAAGATTAAGCTGCAGGAAAGTTACACTATGAGAAAATATAAAGAAACTGCAACTAATTTATGCAAGTCATAGTAGATGAAGAGTACATAACTTTGAAATAAGAGATTTCTTATTAGAAAATCCTCCGAAGGTCTGAATGTGAAGAGATTCCAATGGATCACATTACACGTGAAATGAGGAAGGAAAGCAGGTTTAAGAAAGCAGAAGGGCTTGCTTCACACGCTCTTCGTGGGCTGATCTAATGACTGCGCCAAGCAGGAGACAGCGAGCGAGCCTCCTCGCAAACAAAGGTGAGTTTCAATTTTTATTATAAGTGTGCTTGTTTATAAATGGTAGACTATACTCAAGGTGGGAAATGCTTTAAGGTTAACATTCTACAAACTAGATTAGGAGCATAAAAAATTATATAATGTACAGTATTCTGACATCAATTAGTACCTCTTAAATGGGGTTTTGTTTTACTGCCATAGTAAGAGTAGCACTTGTGAATCGGGTAGGACCTGTTATTTGGATTTCATAATGCTGAGAGTAAGGGTAATGTTACAAGTACCAAAACCGTATTATGCACTTTAAAAATCCTAAACAAACTGTGCCTTCTCCATCGATCTACTGAATGTGATAATGTTAATACAGAAGGTATTACTATGCTACAAACCTAAAGTCTGTTTTTTCTAAAAGCAGCATTTTGAAATCATGAAAGGCTTTGTTTTACTGTGTGTCTGTGTGTGTTTATTTGTAACAGCTGACACTGGAAATCATGAACGCCACAGTGACGAAGGGCTTCAACGGGTCTGAGCAGTGCCCCAGGGACACGCGGATAGCACAGCTGGTGTTCCCAGCCATTTACACCATTGTTTTCCTCACCAGCATCTCGCTGAACACTCTGGCGCTGTGGGTGTTCATTCACATCCCCAGCTCCTCCACCTTCATCGTTTACCTCAAAAGTACTCTGGTGGCCGACCTGGTAATGACACTCATGCTTCCATTTAAAATCCTCTCCGATTCACACCTGGGACCCTGGCAACTCAGAGCCTTCGTGTGTCGCTTCTCCGCCGTCATCTTCTATGAGACCATGTACGTGGGCATCATTCTGCTGGGCCTCATCGCCTTTGACAGATTCCTCAAGATCATCAGACCTTTTGGAAAATTCTTTGTACAAAAACCCACTTTTGCAAAAACAGTCTCAACCTTTGTCTGGTTCCTTTTGTTCCTCATCTCTCTGCCAAACATGATCTTAAGCAACCAGAAGATGACACCGTCAACTGTGAAAAAGTGTGCCTCCTTAAAGAGCCCTCTGGGGTTGAAGTGGCACCAAGCGGTGAATTACATATCCCAGTTCATTTTCTGGACGGTTTTTGCCTTAATGCTTCTGTTTTATGTGGTGATTGCAAAAAAAGTATATGATTCTTACAGAAAGTCGAAAAGTAAGGACAGCAAAAACAACAAGAAGCTGGAAGGTAAAGTGTTTATTGTTGTAGCTGTCTTCTTTCTGTGTTTTGCTCCATTTCATTTTGCCAGAGTTCCATATACTCAGAGTCAAACCAACAGCAAGACTAACTGTAGATTGCAGCATCAATTGTTTATCGCTAAAGAAACAACTCTCTTGTTGGCTGCAACAAACATCTGTATGGATCCCTTAATATATATTTTTTTATGTAAAAATTTCACAAGAAGGTTATTATGCAGGAGAGGAAGAAAGACTACAGCATCAAACCAAGACAATCATACCAGTCAGACAGACAATATAACCCTAAACTGATGACTTGATCATGGCTCACTTCTATTTATGGACTAGATTTCAAAAGACAATTTATTTGGAAGTAACATTTAAGCAATAAAAAGGGATTAAAATAAATGTTTTCTTACATTTTATTATCCTGATGTACAAAAAGGATTATGTAAATTTAATTCCACATAGATGTATTCATAAGCAGAATGAAGTATCATTAAGAGAATGCAACAGAAAGCAAGTGGCCACTAGAGGTCATCTTTTCTAGAACATTCATTTCTAGAACATTCACTTACATTTTGGAATAGATTTATTGTGGATAAATGTGTATTCCAAAAAACCTCCCCTCCAAAACACCTTCTCACATTGTTTTACACACATAATTCAAACAGCACTCCGACTTTGTATTCCAAAAATGTTGATACTTGCTGAAAAAAGAAAACCACCTTGAAAGTCCTTCGGTGAAGCTGAAACTTAGGGGTTGAAAGGGATGCCACATATGAAGCATCTGGGGAGCTGTAGGTGGTCAAAGGCCTTTGAAAGCTCCTTACAGTTACAAAGAGCCTTTTCCATGTTATTCCAACTCAACATAGGAGGCACGGGCACCATAATTAAACCACATGAAACACTGTGCTATAATACTTTGCTCACATGCAAAGAGCATACAATTCAAGGGCAAAAATACTGTATTCTTCTTCTTTAGAATTTCCCTCTGCCCAGCAAATCCTCTAATGGTGGTTGAATATGCCACCTACTTAGTTAGCAAAGCCTTCCTGGGCAACAACCTCTATCCTCCTGCCTCCCACTCTGGTTAAAAATAATTGCTTCTCCAACTGTTTGGGTATGTTTTAGGGCCTTCATTGCATATGTCCCTTTACCAGTTCACTGTACTCTTGACCGCATCCCCTAAAGATGGTTAGTATTCTCTAAGAAAAATGTGTTTTGAAGACAGAAAATGTCATTTTTTATTGGTAAATCCCACAATACTTCCCACTGACCTTGGGTTACAAATGTTTTATATAGAATATGTCAAAATATTATGCTATTCTTGGTACATACATAGATGAAACTGCTGGCCCACAACCAGTAACATCCATACTGGGATATTTTTCAAAGGATGGAGCCCTACTTGGACTTATTTACCTCCGCATGTTTTTCCTGAATACCTTTGTGGTTCAAAAAAAACTACAAAATGGTTATCTGGTATTGTAGATGCCAGCTTAAAACTTCCAGAGAGAATGCACAAAGGAATGCTCACGCTCTGTAAATGTGCCTCCAGCTCCAGCGTTATCATCGGAAGGTGAATCTCAGGCCTCTTCCTATGCCCTCAAGGGCACCGAGGCCCTGGAACCTGCCCACCGCTCTGGCCTCATCGCCTCACTGCTTTTCCATCCCTGGAACTTCACACTCTTCTATAAACCTGAACATGCCAGGCTTTTTTGCCCCTGTGCCATTGCACATGTAAATTTCCTCTGACTCACCAAGAAAACTCTTATCCCTCCCTAAAATCCTGCGTTGCCATCACCTAGTCCATGAAATATGATCTGGCCAACCTCCCACCACCATCTCAAGCCCAGTCCCTCCCTGTCTGTCATGCCTCAATTGCTGATCTCACACTGCATTGTGATGACTCCTCCTGCAGGCACCTACTGTTTAAGTAACCTACATGTACTTCTGAAGCAGAGATTGTGCCTCATTGTGCAATCAATAAAGGTTTGATAATAAACCAAACTGGTTTTATTTTTACATACTAGAAAAGCAAAAGGAAAATCCATTTTCACTGATGTTTTCATTATCAAAAGATGATAAACATTTCTTGAAAGCTCTTTTCAGTTGAGTTCCTACAGCTTGGACACAGGGGCCGGGAAAGTGGGGATGTTCTTGGGTTCTCTACTGAGTGCTCATGAAAGAAGCAGGATTACTAAATAGCACATGAATAGCTTGGGGGCTGATGTCTATCGACATATCAATTTGAAACTATTGGTAAAATGCTCCAGCTATGTACTGTTGGTTTTGGGTAAGTAACTGCAGTCTATTACAATATCCCAAACTCTCCTTTAACAAAGTGCTCTTGAAGTCTGATTTTCATTCTCTCAAATAAAAGAATTAGATCATGGTAACTGTTAGTGATGTCACTAAATGCACAGTACTTTTACTGAATACATTACATATTCATGAGTAGACTCTAATACAGTTTTATAAAAAACTGCATCTAGATAATGTATACAATTTTTACAAAGGTCTTTCAAGATAAAATTTCAATAGTAAATCTGTCCTCCATAAACACAAATATTTAATTCTATTGCAATAACATCATAATCAAAAGTGGAGTAAATGGTGTGTAGAATAATCTAACAAGAACTTAGAGAAAAGGCATAGTAGAGCCATCTTAAAAATCATACAAAATGCAAAGCAACTATTTGAGAACAAATTCCCAAACTGGCATCAAAATACTAAGTTATGGAATACTTATAGAATGGGATGCTATACCACAGCCATTAATGACACACAAAAGAGAATGTTGTTTTTGTGTGTGTGTGGGTTTTTTTTTTGTGTGTGTGTGTGTGTGGTTCTTTTTTTTTTTTAAAGTAGCTTTGATATAGTGTGTGAGCTTAGAGCACAATTAAGGGCTTTTGTGAAAAGTGAAATATAACTGTTATTACTGGAAAAGGTCTTCTGACTATCCCTGGGGCAGGCAAAGGGTGAAAGGGTATTGCCTCATACTGAAGAATTCTTGAGAAACCAAGAAAATTTACTGTAAATGAGAGAGGAGAAGGCAGACAAGCAGTGAGAACTCCCAAACCACAGAAGTTAGATGGTCAATGTAAAGTTATTAATTAGAATCTTAAAAGAATTATTCAACAATGGAATACTATGCTGTGGTAAAAAAGAAGGAGTTCTTACCATTTGCAACAGCATGGATGGAACTGGAGAGCATTATGCTAAGTGAAATATGCCAGTCAGAGAAAGATAAATATCACATGATCTCACTCATTTATGGAATATAATGAACAACATAATCTGATGAACAAAAACAGATCCAGAGACAGAGAAACATTGATCAGACCGTCAAACATCAGAGGTAAGGTAGGGGAGGGTGAGGGTAAGGGGGAGAGATCAACCAAAGGTCCTATATGCATGCATATAGGCCTAACCAATGGACACAGACAACAGGGGGGTGAGGGCATAAGTGGGGGGGGGGTGTAATGTGGGGATAAGGACACATAGGTAATAACTTAATAAAAAAATATTAAAAAAGAATTATTCAATCTTATCAAAACCATCACTTTATGTATTTCATATCCATTTAAAAGAGGCTCCTTCCATAACTTTCTTTCTCAAAATGCCTGGAGTTTACCTCCAGGTAAACTCATTCCTCCAGCAAGTTAAAAGGTCAAAGTTTACATAACTCTTAACAGAGCAAGCCTCTAGAGCAGTGGTTTTCAACCTTGGCTGCACATCAGAATCACCTGGGAATCTTTTTAAAATCCTGATTTCTGGTCCTCATCCTCCAGAAATTCTGTTTCTTTGTTACTAATGTTGTGGCCCCACCCCATAACAAAGAAACAGAATTTCCAGAGGATGAGGCCCAGAAATCAGGATTTTAAAAAGATTCCCAGGTGATTCTGATGTGCAGCCAAGGTTGAGAACCACTGCTCTAGAGGAAGAACCCACTCCCCACCGGTCTAATACCTCAGGGAGCATAGCTAGGAGACAGCAGGGAGCATAGCTAAGGAAAGTGTGGAACTCACAAACCATTTAAAATGCCCAGAAACAAAACCCACTATTTTAAAATTTACATGAAACCAAATACAGACAATATGAATAGAGAACACTTGTGTTCAAACCAAAGTAGTCCTCAAACTTTACTTGGTACCAGAACCAGCTGAAGAGATTCTTAAAGACACTGCTAGGCCCACCCCTGAGTTTCTGATTCAGTAGGTCAAGGGTGAGGGCTGAGCATGAGCTACCAGGGGCACTGAAGCTATGGATTGGGACACTCGTGAAGAAGTACTGAGATAAATGTTCCCTGAGGTTCATACTTCCGTCCAGACTGATTTACACACAGCCATCTTGAGCAAGAATGTCCAAGAAAGGCATCTGTCAACAGGAAACACAAAATTGTTAAGAGACTGGGGCAGATATAAGGTGGCAGGCCAGAGTAAGGACTAGGCTACCTTAAAAGTCCATACCCTACTGTGGGGGCATCTACTATCCAGTGCCAACTGCTGGCACAGAAGGGATTTGGAGTCCAGGGTGGCTAACTAGTAGCAATAACAGTAGTAAAACTAGCATCAGTGACAACAAAAGCTACACACATTACCTACTACTTACTGTGTACCAAGAGCTTTAACTATATTGTTCCATTTAATAATACCAGGAAGCCTATAAAGTGAAATTATTATCTCCATTTTAGAGATAAAGAAGTTGAGAAACAGAGGTTAAGCAATGTGCATGGGGGTCACCCGGCATATAAAGAGCAGGGCTAGAACTCTAATTCAGATTCTTGCCTCTAAACTCATATTCTTAAACACTATGTTTATAATTTCAAATCTTCTAATGTTCTCAAGAGAATTCATAAATCCAGTCTCCTATATTTTCTGTGATTTTCAAAATTTCCATAGCCACCCCCATATTCTCTGACCCTACAAAAACAACGCAGTATTCTTGTGTGGGCCATAACTAGCCCAGGTGCCGCCAGCTAATTAGGCCTGACCTAGAAGCTACCAGAACCTCCCAGGACCTCACCAGGCAGTGTGGCTTGTTTACTGAACACTTTCTGTGGCTGACACCATGCTCTGCACTTGATAAAGATTACTACTTTGCTATCTTTCACTGCAACACCACAGGATAGATGTTACAGGACTCCTTGTTGAGGGAGGAAAGAAAAGAAGTCTGAGGACAAAGTAAAAGATACCTCGTCTACAGTGCCTGTGGCCCCACCAGCAAAGCAGAGGCTCTGCTCTACCACCTGACAGTTAGGACAAGCTGCATGCCTCCAGGGTTGACATTGGGCCTCAGCAGTGAGAAAGGTAAGGAGGTGGCGCCTGCAGAGGGAGGAAGAGGTCTCAACACAAATGAACTTCAGTAACCTCAGGGGTATGAATGGTTCGTGGACCCTGTAAGTACTTTGGGCGGCCCTCCAGCACTGAGAGTTCTTGAAAGGAGTAAAGTCCCCCATAGAGATTCATGGGTTCATCTGGTCATTCTTCGTGCAC